GTTAAGGTGGAACTGAATAAGTTTACATGATGCTATACACTGTATGACAGACAAAAAAAAATAAAATCAGACTGCAGGATAAAAGCAGGTGGTGAATTTTGAGGATGGTACTTAGACCAATTTATTGTAGGATAAAAGCAGGTGGTGAATTTTGAGGATGTTATTTAGATCTTTTTTACTTTTCTTATTCCAATTTTCTATAATGAGCATGTAACTTTTGTAACAAAAAGAAAACACCTTTTTTTAAAATAAAGAAAGAAAACAGAAGTTATCAGCCTCACCCAGAGTTTTCTGCATTGTACTTTTTAAAGATGGCACTATTTTGACAGCCAAAAAAGACACTTAGAAATACAGATTACAAATTCAAGATCATGTCTATGAACTTGGCTTGGAAAATATCCTTCACAAAAATACAACCTACCATCTGTAGAATGTATTCAAAAATGATTAGCATAGTATAAAAAAATAATGCTGGAACAGCAGAAATTTGTTTTTTAAATGCTTCCTGTTCAGTATTCTTTTCAGATTTCTCCATGATGTAGAAGAAGCAAAGTCAAAATAGAACACCAGGTCAAAAAGACAGAAACAGGAAGTAAACTAAGATGAGAAAGGAACACTAGCCTTTACTGGAGGCATGGCACTGCTCTAGAAACTCCACCAAGCACAAGAGAGAAACTTTGTATGAGCCAGAGACCTGCATGGGGAAACTTCCCATTTCTGGCTTTGAATACTAAGCCTAGGTCCAACTTACACTGTCTCGGTCATCAAAAAGCTATCGTGCCATTCATTTCTCTGACAGCACAACTGTCACTTTCACGCCGTTAAAGTGAATCAGGAGAGTTTGCAGGTGCTCAGAGTCCATACAGTGCCTCTCCAATGACTGCAGGGAGACCCGAGGTGACGTGAAACACTCAGTGGCCTCGGAGAGGTGGTACTCTGCCCAGCTGGCTTTGGCTTCCTCATTGATGGGGAAGTACTGCACAAGTTCCCCGGCCTCCCTGAATCTTTAGTAAAAATAAGAGCGTTAGGCTGAGAACTTTTCCCCAGGACCCATCCTATGCTTGTGTGATTGTAAGCCATGAGGTCTCACTCACATGTATATAAATACAGGTTGTGTATTCCTAATTTGAAAAACTCCAAGTCTGAAAGGCTCCAAAATCTGGAACATTCTGAACACCAACATAAAGGCACAAATGGAAAATTCCACATCAGATCTCAGGTGATGATGGGTTGTAGCCAAAACACTGCAATCGGCCAGCTGTGGTGGCAGAGCAGTAACGCAAGGCCCCAGGATGCTGAAGCCACACAGGAAGATCCAGGGTTCATGTCCTAAGGTCGTCACATACAAACTGAATGTGTGTGTCCCCCATCTATGCTGGCTGAGCTGGGACTGCGTCATGACACGAAGTATCTCTCATCTCTCTCTTTCAGAAGAAATAAACTTTAAAAAATTACTGCAATATATAAAATATCATAAAAATTACCTTCAGGCTGTATGTACAAGGTATATATGAAACATAAATGAATTTGGTTTTTAGACATGAGTTCCATCCCCAAGATAGCTCATTAGGCACGTGGAAATATTTCAAAATCAGAAAAAAAAAAAGAAATCTGAAACACGTCTGGTCTCAAACATTTGGGCTAAGAAACACTCAACCTGAATATTCTAATATTTAAATTCCAAACAATGCCATTTTTAGAAAATGATGCCTCAATCATAAAGGCTCAGATATTTTTTCCCAAATGGGAAAGTGTTAAATATCAAATTCATACCTATTAGAGATAACTGACCACAGAGGCAGAGTGCCTGGAATGATTTCAGAATGCTTCATTTGCAGGTGACAAGCAGGCTGGGTAGGTTTCCCATGAGGAACCCTCTATTGTAGTAAAACCTGGCCACACCAAGAGGTGATCAAGAGAATGACCTCTAGCCTTGCAGGGCAGCTGGAAGCTTGATGCCTGACACAACGCTTCACCTCTTGGGGGCCAGGAGACAAACCCTGGAGAACTGAAGTTTAAAAAAGGAGTTAGGTCTGAACCTCCGCAGACCCTCCTTCCCTTCCCTCTGAGAGTTTGCTCCTCCACTTGCAGGGAGCCAAAGCCCTCCCGTTTGCTTTCCCTCTGACACTGCCCAGCTGGTCCCTTCAGGGACACAGAAGACATGTCAAAAGCCAAGCCTAGCAGGAGGCTTTGTTCATAATCATCAATGATTACCTCTACGATCTCTTCAGTTTCAGATTGTGCCTTAATTGGCTGTTAGAATAGGTCAATGCCCTAATGCTGGCAAACAAAAATGCTACTTTAATACTGCCTTTTTTCAGCCTACAGACAGAAAAAAAATTTTTTTAAAAACGGAAATCCACACCCATGACAGTGGCCCTACCAAAATTATCTAAGGGGTAGATGAGCTGGACATACTTACACCAATATGGTTTTCCAGAGACTGAATAATCCAGCATAGGGATTGGCAAACCTCTTCAGTAAAGGGCCAGCTAATAAGTATTTCTGGTTTTGCTAGCCATACGGTCTCTGTTGCAACTACTCGACTCTGCCGTGCTAGGGTAAAAGCAGCTACAGAAAATACATAAGTGAATGAGCATGGCTGTGTTCCCATAAACTATTTATGGATACAGAAATCTGAATCTCACATAATTTTTGCAGGTCACAAAGTACTCTTTTGATTTTTTTTTCCTCAACCACTTGAAAACATAAAGAGGATTCTTAGCATAGACCCTACGAAAACAGGCAGGCTATAGTCTGCTCATGCTTGACTGAGAAACTGAGACAACTGTCATATTCAGTACCCTAACCCTAATAATACAAAGTACGAAACCTTTCTTCATAAGCTTAGTCCTACTTGATTTATTCCATCTCCCTTCCTAAACCCAATCCTCAAAAATACTCCTTTGATGAGTCTACTTGTCTCCACCTCCATTGTGTCTGCTCCATCATCTCTTCTCTAGCCTCCACCTCATCGTGTACAATCCTCTCACACCGTCAAAGCAGAATCCACCCACTACAAAGAGGAATGGGCTTTCACTAGAAGGGCCGAGTCACTCCTTGATTAACCTCCTTGAAAAGCCTTCCCAGTACAATCACAATAAACTCTAAATCCCTTCCCATGACCTGTAAGTCCCTGCCTTTCTCTCCAACTTCATCTGTGCTTTTTATTTTAATAATAGATCGTGTGCACACAGGAGAGACAGAAACACACATATAGCACCCTCAATAGGGTCTCACATACCACGATCTCCCTTCCTCAGTCCTCCAGCTTCTCAGGATTTTGGGTGCCTACACACATGATTAGCATATCATCAGGCCAATCCAGGGATCTGAATCCACAGCTGAGCATGTGGCCTCCAGCCCTGTGGTCCAGTACACCACAGACAGTGCCACTCAGACTGGGTCTTCTTGTCTTTAATCCTTTGTGAAGGTTCATTTTATATGTCACCTTAACTAGGCTAAGGGGTACCCAAATACCTTGTCAAATATGATTCTTAGTTTGTCTGTGAGGGTTTTTAAGAATGAGATTAACATCTGAATTGGAAGACTGAGTTATACAGATTGCTCTCTGTATATTAGTCAGGGTTCTCCAGAGAAGAACAAATAGTATGTAGACATATTTATATCTAGAATGAGATTTAGTATAACAAAATGGCTTAATGATTACAGAGGCTAAGAAGTCCCATAATCTGCCATCTGCAAAATGAAAACCTAGGAAAGCAGATGGTATAAATTACAGTCTGAGCTTGAAGGCCTAAGATGTAGGAGTGGTGATGGTGTAAGTTCCAGTCCAAGGGCAGGAGACAACTGATGTCTCAGCTCAAGTAGGAAGAGAGGGAAGGGGAGGCAGAGATACTCGAGATAGAATATTTAACCAGATCTCTGAACATCCTTAGTCTAGTCAAGTTAACAGATAAAGCTAACCGTCACATCTCCCTTTTGAATTGAGACATTGACTTTTCTCTCTTTAGATCTGAACTAAAACATTGTGGGTCTAAAGCCTGCTGATCTCTGGACAGGAACTACATTTTTCAGCTTGCATGGTTCTCCATTCTTTGAACTCAGACTATTACTATATCCTCTCTCTCCTAGGTCTCCAGCTTGCCAACTCATGTGGCAGTCTCGGGATTTAAATATTACCGTAACTGTATGAATCAATTCTTAATAAATCTCTTTATATACACATGCACACAAATGTGCACTCTATTTTTCTGTCTCTCTGGAGAACACTAATGTAACCATGACTGTCACACTCCTTCTCTCTCACTTCCTCAAATACAAGATGCTCTTTCCTCATTAGGGCTTTTGCATTATTTTCTTTTTTTTTTTTTTTTTTTTTTTTGTCTTTTTAAGATTACAAAGGATTATTAGAAAGTCTCAACAGCTTTCATGGATATCAAATCATCCTAAAAGACCACTATTTTGATGATTCAAGTGTAAATGAATCAAAAACAGTGGATTAAGTTTCCGTTAAAATACACAAGATTGTAAAAAACAAGGCAAAGTAATTCCTTGAACCGCGGTCGACTACATGGGAGTCCAATGACATAGTCATTACACTAACTGCTGGTCCCTTTTTTTTTTTTATCTTTTTTTTTTTTTTAAGGGCCTTTGCATTTTTTTAATTAACATTCATTTTTCTTTTTACTTTCTTGTTCAAGTCTTCAGTTAAATTTCTCCTCTCCACCCCTTTGAAAAATAGCTTCCACTGACCCACCACTGATTCTGTCTCAGCCTCTTGTTTCTATTCCACTCAAAATATTTATCAACATATCCTTTCCATTTCCTCATTCACTCAGAGATTGCTCCTAAATCAGAAAGACTCCAGGTAACAATGGCAAATCAGTGGCAAGAATGAGGTAAGAACTTTAACCAAAAAGATGCTTCTAGAAAAGTAGGACTTGAGAGTTCATCAGCTTAATGTCAACTTTCCCTGGTAAAAATTATTTTTGTCCTATGATAGCTACTATTAAAGCTACCTTTGGCAGGTTCTGCCCAGAGACTGTTTGCTTTCTGCTCCTCACAGTGGTCGGTGAGGAGAGCTCATACTTCCACACAGCACAGAAAGCAAAGCAGCAGCAGGATCGCGATTCTGATTCATTTGTGGTTGTGATGAGTTTCTTGCTGCTGTGGTCCAAAACCATCCTCTTACCCTCTCTCTTGCTTCGCAAACTGCAACAGAAAGAACATCTTTAATTTAGGTAGAATAATCTGATCTCAGGGTATCCTACAACTTAATTGAAGATAAAATAACCTGTCAGCACTAGTTATGTGAGTTTGTCTCTCTATACCTCAGAGTCCCTAAATGAGGCCTGGCACAGTTATCTGAAACCTGACAGCAAGACAGGGAACTGGTTCCTGCAAAATGTGCTTTTTGCTAGAACTGCTCGATCACAGGGAAAATCACAACCCCTAAAAGATCTGCAGGCTATGTATACCTGGAATAATATTCTGCTCACCCTGTTCTTAAATGTGTAAAATGTGATTGGCGTGTGAAATGTGTTCATTTCCTGTACAACAAGTTTTCTTATCAAGTAAGAAGACCCCTTGTACTTCTCTACTGAGAGAGGCTTAATCCTTTTCCTTTTCTGGTGTAAATTTCATGCTGCAAGGGGCTAAATTGTAGAAAAACAAGGTGGTTATTTTTACACCTGGCCAACTTTCTGTACACATAGGCAAACAGGAGTATCAGTGGTGATGCCTCCATAAGATTTCCTGAAAAAAAAAAAAAAATCCTTGATTTAACATTGACTTACATCTGGACACTTTTCCACTGAATACAATTCTCTTTACAAAGCAGCACCTTGAGGAGTCAGCTTCAAAACGGCAACCAGAGCAAAACGGCAGGCATTATTCTTTCCAAGCTGCTTACTTTTCAGCTCTCTGATATAATACTGGGGCGATATGCATGTCATATGACAGTAAGAAAACCAATTACGTGGATCACACTCTAAAGTGATCAAGTGCTGGTCAGAGAAGCCACAGCTGCTTTTGATTCATTAGAAATACAGCCCCGCCTCCTTATAAGGCAATGCAATTCAGTTGGTATTGTAGTTCTTTGTATTTTATTTTTTTTAACAATACTTCTTTAATCAATTCAAAGCAGATATTTGTGAGATATTAATAAAAGCCACAAAGGGAAGGAGGGCATTAACTGATCATGCATCCCCTAAAGCTTTATTCCCACAGTATAAGGTAAGTGCTGGAAATGAAGAAATGTCTCAATTTGTCTGAAAAATCTCCAACATGGCTTTTTAATACGTTAGACCGCAATGTAAAAGCATTCCTTAGCATTTGACTAGTGAAGACTCCCATGGCTGCCAACATTAGATTTCTAGCAAGACTTCCCTCTCTCTTTAATAGCATTAGTAAAAAATACAATGTTCTCAGTTTGGTTCCAATACCTTATTGCCTAAACTTACACACTGGTTTTCTTTAGGAAAGAGCTGCTTAAAATTGACTGTTGACAATAAAAACAATGACAATATCATGAACAGTTTTACCAAAAAACTGGAGCACCTTGCTTAGACACCTGAACCTACCATGAGTCTATCAGAGAATGCAAGGCCACAAAAGCTGATTGATGTCACAAGAAATGTTTATCCTAACAACCAGAACAGGCTGACATTCCCAAGTGTGATGGCGGTAGGTGTGTTGTTAGGGAGGGAGAAAGAGTTCTGTGAGCAAGTAAGTGCAGGATGTACAGAATTAAATGAAAGTTAAATGAGGAACCTTCCTGCAGAATTTCTCTGACCTTTCAGCACTCTGATATGTTTTACGAATCTTTTAAACCTTTTCTTAATGAGTTATTTTTTTTTAATGCAGTGCAACAATTTTGTAGGGTAGTGTCCCATGCAATAAACTTTCATTATCTCTAGAATAGGTCACTTCAAAGTGTCAGAAATAGGGGCTGGTAGGTGGCCTAGTGGTTAAGGGCGCTAGACTCCCACATGGTCAACCATATTCAAGTTCCAGACCTGGTGGCTCATTTTCTCACTCTCTCTCTCTCTCGCTCTTTCTCTCTCACTCACTTACTCTGACCCTCTCTGGTCAAATTAAAATAAAATAAATAGTTTTTAAAAAATATTTTTTTTAAAACATGTCAGAAATATTTTACTATCTTCCCCTCCCCCCCCACACCCATACTATTTCTTATCTTTCTGTCTGTGAGGACTTTCACATACTACAATGTAAAAATGCAGTAGTATTACAGTCCTATTAGAAGAGATATACAATAATGAAAACGTTTCAAAATGCTCTTTGGTATCATTACTCCTATTTCTTCCTTGGCCATTATCTTGGGCAATTCTGGTAAGGGCCCTTCTCCCGAAGTACAAGGTGATTTGACGAAAGCATGAATGAGTAGAATGAGGGGCTGCACAGAAGTGTGACTGCCACATCTGTTAGCAGTGCATGTGGTAAGCCTTCCCTGTCACTATACATATTGAGAAGTAATGACAAAGAAATGTAGTCCCTTGGGGCAAATGAAATGGAGGTGCAAATTAGAATCACACCTCTAGTCTCATTTTGGTATCACTTCTTGTCTGGATAAACAACACTTACTCTCACTCCCCTACTCATGGCAAGTAGCCACTGTTAACACTTGCATTAGGGATCAGTCACAACAAATTACAGTTAAGTTTCACACTGCACTGCAGGAGACAGCCCGGCCCTGGGAGAGCACCAAGTTAAGCTGGGCGGCATTACCAATTTTGAGATAACTAGCACTGGGGCTAAAAAGGCCCCTGTGCCTCAGCCACATGAAGCGGTTAAAATTCTAATACTGTAAGTGGTATCTCAATATTTCTGTGTATGGTAGTTTATGACTCTCTGTGGAGAACAGCAGTGGGTAGCTACTTACAAAAGGGGTGATTTTAATCACCAATCATTTTCAAGAACACAAGAGATCAGTGGTACTCAACTGTGAAAGCTTTATTATAGCGGGAAACCGCCTGTGTGGATTAAAAACACAAACAGATTTCACTTCAAGATGATTGTGTTAGATGCTACACTTCCAGGATGTAGAGAGTATGTACAGATTATGAGTCATTAAAAAAATTAAAAAAAAAAAAACCACACGAGGAAGATGTAGAAAATAAGGATTGCAGATTCAGTTCATACATAAATTTGCCCTCTTTAGTGGGTGTGTACAGAAGAAAAGGAGGCTTTGACACCTGGATCCTAAGAAAGGCCAGCATCTATTATTTATTCAAGTAGAGGAAAGTTCACCTTGTCTAGGTGAAATACAGTCTATAAGGCAGGTATTTTGTATTTTTTTCTTAAAAAATAATTTAATTTTATTTATTCATTTATTTATTTTTAATTTGGCCAGCGAGACACACAGAGAGAGAGAAAGAAAGTGAGAAAACAAGCTACCAGGTCCAGGACTCAAACCATGGTAGGCCATGTGGGAGTGTCCAGCACCTTAACCACCACACCACCTGCTGGTCCCTTTTCGTTTTTTCCTAAAGAACGAAAAATAAAATATTCGAAAACCTTTAAGAATCAGTATAGTTATGTATAAATATAAGAAATGAGTCATGTCAAACAGTCTTTTAGTGACACAAATACAAATGAACTCATTTATCACCAGATTTGCTCCTCTGGGGCATTTTACTAGTCCAGGGCATCTCTAGGAAGCTGCTGCAGTGATCCTGACATTTCAAGGTGGGAAGAGAAGAATCGAAACCCTCTGTGACATGGAGCTAGATGAGTTTCCGAGATCTAGGAACAGGGTTCATTCCATACTTCAGTAGATCAAGAAGAAGGACAAAGGTTTTTGACATACCTTCATGCCAAGTTAAATGTGATTGGGATTCTGACGCTGACATTCTCTTCTTCAGAGCTCCTGACGGTAAGTTTTAGGTATCTGCTAGTTCTTCTAGAAGCAGAAGAAAATTAGTAGTACCCATCATTTGGACGGCCCTTCATTTACACTCTGGAACATCTGTTAGTATAGGTGTTCTTTTTGATTTATAAGAAATCATTATGTGAAGCATTCTTCATACTCCAGTATTTGCACTGCTGTAAGGAGCTCTCAATGATGGCAGCTGCCATGTGCCAAAATGCCTTATTAAAGCCTGGAAATGCATTACCTAACTTACTCCTCACACGTCTGTAAGGCAGGTGCTTCATGCTCATTTTATGAATGAGGAAGTTGAAGCTCAAAGAGGTAAACTAAATTGCTCCATGTAACAGAGCCAGTAAGCCATACAGCACTGATTCAGTATCAGCCTGTCTGACCCCAATAAGCTTGTCTACATTTTTACTAAGCGACCAACTCATATTGGTATATTACTCATTTTTCACAACTCCTCCTCCAATTCTACGGGAAAATACTAAGGAAAAAAAATAAAGCTATCTAGCCACATCATTTTCTCCACTCTCTTCTTTTTACTTCCTCTCCTCTTAGACAGCAACCTTACCTATCAGTCTCTTTGAGGACTTCAGAGACATCCATCAATGTGAAAGTACAATAAGCGAGTCAACAGAACACACAAACAAGAGTATTACAACTGATACTCTGTACTATTTTCCATGAAAGAATTACATAAATTCCATTAACACCGATTGCTGCCTCCAAGCTTACAGTTCACTGGACTAGAAATGGATGGGAGAAAATAGTATTCGTCCCTCTGTCTTGCTCCAGTTGCTTACTACCTCTATTTCTCACTCGTTCTTCACTACTGACAGTAAAGTCTCCCACCAAAAACAAGTCCTCAAGTGCACAAGGCATTGTTGGCATCTGAAGCTTCCATTATCTCCAAGACTGAGATGTTTCAGTTGCAAACAGTAGTTGCCAGATTTCTTGATTCATCCAATCAAAGGAAATTAAGTCTTAAATGCAAGAATGTTAATACTATCCTTCAAGCAGCTAGTAAAGAGTTCTGCACCTTCTCCCACCAAAAACAAGTCCTCAAGTGCACAAGGCATTGTTGGCATCTGAAGCTTCCATTATCTCCAAGACTGAGATGTTTCAGTTGCAAACAGTAGTTGCCAGATTTCTTGATTCATCCAATCAAAGGAAATTAAGTCTTAAATGCAAGAATGCTAATACAGCAGCTAGTAAAGAGGTCTGCACCTCTCCTTGCCACATACTCCAGATCATAAGTAAAAAGGCAGACACTGGACTCGTCTAACAAGGTACTGTCTCTTTAAATTGGGCAGTAAAAGCAGAGCAACTTTCAGATGGGCACAATTACCACTTCTTCCCATGGAGAATGAAGAGAGAGGAAATGATGCAAAATAATGCAGAAACATTTGACTGGCATTCACATTTTAGCTTGTAAACAATTTCTAATTCACTTGCCTAGACAGTTAACCATCCGTCTGGATGTAAAGAATTTAAGCCCAACCAAGAAACAGGAAGCAGCAGTTCTGTCATAAGTGTGTTTATTTTGGTGGCTCACATCTGCAGCTTTTCCCCCCTCAATGTATCCTTTCAGAGCCAGAACGAGGAAGAGAACAAAGGTACTGGGCCTCGATCCATCCCTGTAATTGTGATATGCTGAGCTGCCACAGCAGCATGAGAAGGAAGTTGTTTGATTCATGCTGAAGAACTCCAACCCACATATGGGCAAAGTCCAGAAGTAAGGGACAGTCTATTCAACATGATTAACTTTATTCATATACTCTACAATGTCCCAGGACTGTGGCTGTCATACTCTGTTTAAAAGCAGCATATGTAAATCCATGTGTTCTGACATTCAAAGTCATCTAGTGTTCCGCTGCAAGTCCAACACCAGCATGAAATCTCCTCGGTGTTATCTTCTGTTGACAATGAAATTACTTCTAAATAACCTTAACTGTGAATAAATACAGAACACTGTGGAGATGGAGGGCAAAACTACCTTAAACCAAACCTACAAATGCAGAGGTATAGCCTGCACATCAGCCTTACCAAATGTACTATATGAATCTAAATTTTCTGATGGGAAAATCTCCACATATGCATATATATTGAATTTTTGTATCTAGAACCAGGGTCAGTAAAATACAGCCTGTGGGCCAAATCGTGCCAGTGACCTGTTTAGTAAAAAAAGTTTTCCTGAACATTGCTATGATCACTTGTTTACACAGTATCTACAGTTGCCTCTGTGCTACAGGAAGAACTGAGTAGCTGTGAGAGATCATATGAACCATGAAGCCTAGAATATTACCTCGCTCTTTACAGAAAATGTTTGCCAATTCCTGCTCTAGAATGGTGAATAATTTGCCAATCCTTGCTCTACATAACCAGACCTTGGATCAAAATTACTTAGTCTTGATTCTATAATCGCTCACTGCCGATCCCAATACTTAAGGCTTTGGGTTGGCCTAAAGACATCCCAACCCTCTGCGTGGAAACACTATAGGAACAGATCCAGGTGGCAACCCTGCAAATCTGAACAGATGTCTATTTTTCTTCTGCCCATGAGACAGATGGTCCTCAGAGAGGGGGAGAAGAATTAGTCCATGAGAGAGAATTCTCTGTGCAGCACTAATTTTGGATATGTATCCCCGATCCATCTGGCCAACGAGGATTCCTTAGGAGTACCTTTGCTATTTGAGTTTGTTTAACATTCAGGAGGGAAATCCTGGGTTCTAACGGCTAGGACCTCAGGTATTTTGCTCTCTGTGTCAAAATGTAAATAAAGCATTCCAACTCTGTCCTTGTGACAATAAGTCTTGAACACGTTTAGGGATAAAAGATGATAATAAGGATGAAGACAAGGACAGATAAGATTCATTTAGGGACCCCTCCTCAAGGGGGTGTACTCTCTTTTGAGAGTAAATATTCCCTTAGTGCTGGAAAGAACAAAACAAATAAACAAACAAAAACACCTGATATTCTGTCATGTGCAGAAAGCAGAGGGGCACCATTTACTTCTGCCCTGCCGATGGCAGCTCTTTACTAGAGAGTGATGCATCGCTCTCTCATTAACCACTCTAAGTTGTCTTTGATATTCTGACCTTGTTATACTAAAGAGCATTTCTCCCTGAGTAACAAGCAATAAATTTGCAAAATTAATTAGGACTCAGTTCTTACACTTTCTCCCATTCCATTCCCAATTCTCCTTTGCCCAGAGTGTTAGTTCTGTTGAGTCAATAAATAAGAAACAAAACTAAGACTGAACATAGAAAAATTAGACAACCAGAAGCAGAGATATTATGGGAAGCAACTACTTTCAGATTCTTTTCTTTTAATCTCAGTCAACAGGCTTTTGCATTCTGGTGGACCTTAAATCCCACTTCCGATGGTTTGAGTCCCATTTGTACCATTACTACCCTGGGTAATTTCAGGATCCTCGTCTATATAGAAAAGTAACAATCTAGTTAACTTGTGGGGTTGTTGTGAGGACTGAAGGAAAATGCTGCTAACTCATTTAACAGTGCCAGAGTCACAGGAAATCCTTAACGTATACATAACAATCCCTACTGAGCAAAATTCCTGCTTGGAGCGTAGCTGCTATTGGTAGCAGAAACAAACGGTAGACTACCAAAGAAGTCACAAAGGAAAGATCTCTTTCCTGACTATCTTCTGAGTCATATGCCTGGAGACAAAGGGAAATTCTTAGTAGAAAAGATGTTATTCAGTTCTATCTCTATTCTGCCTAGCATTGGGAATACTATAAGGATTCCTATTTTCCAAGTGTTTCAGCCTCAAAATTCCATATGAGGTTACTTGTGAGCCTGAACAGTCCATCCAACACTGTCTTACCCAGTTTCAACGCAAAGGAGAAAGAAGTTCCCCCCTCACATAACTGGCCGTCCCTGCAGATGATGCTATGCTACATTACACTATAAATCAATTGCGACACAGTCACACCCAGCACTATTCAGCAGGCACTGAAAGAGTTCCATCTATGAAGGATATATAAGTACCTGTAGCATTAGGAAAACAGCAGACCCTAACATGCCAAAGCACTTAGATTAAATTCAGCCTTACAACATTTTCTTAAGAACATTCAATTTATGTGTTTACAATTGTTTACAAATTCTAACTCCCTATTTTTCTAAAAATTTTAACACTTTCCACTAGAGGATTCCCAGACATATTACAAAACACAGGATCAGGAACAATGAATAAATACATCGAGTAGCAAGAGTGAATTTTCATGACAACTAGGCTGGGACGAAAAATGACACAAGGGTTTATAAATGAAAATCAATACTTGAACCATGTCTGGAAGCAAATGGACAGCCAGGACAGAATGCAGCTGCAATGACGTCTAGCTGCTGTTAATCTCATAAAGCTCACCTCTGCTGTGACTCCCTGAAAGCAAAGTTAAGATTAGCTCTGCTTCTCTCACCAGATGCTACTCTCTTTCCAAGCTCCATGGGTTTAGGCTACATCTGAGCTCACTTTCACCCATGTTGTGAGCTAATTACAAAGAATCCAGAAATGTGGGAATGAACTGGGAATATTGTAGGCTGCTGTAACAAACCTTAGCACCATCTGCTGAAATACTAAGATGCTTGTTTAAAAAGTTGGCTGTCAGAGAAGGAGGTCACAGCACAGACAGTGGGGAAGTTCTTTTAAATAATTACTTACTTCTCTTTCCTGTGCACAAGCAGTAGGGCACTGAGCCAAAGGTGAACAGCCCAGAGATAAAAGACCTTCTCTGCTTTCCTTCTCCTGGTTCAGGCACCAGCAGGAGAGAACTCAAAAAGCCTTGGTCATCAAAGAAGAAAAAAATACAGTCAAAAGATTGAGGAATATTTGCATGTTTCAGTGAGCAACAGTCATTTCGGAATATATTGGGTTGTCGGAAAAGTCATGAGGTATTTTTCTATATTTTTCTATGCAAAAAATGTGCCATGACTTTTCCGATGACTCAGTATATAGGAATGTCATTAAACTCCTTTTGTTTCTTATAATTAGTTAGCAGAGACATTGACAGTATGCATATACTCAAGGAAGGCATCATATAAATGTAATTTTATCAAGATATGACAATCCTTTAGTAATCTGAGACTCATAAGATTTAGAGATCCCTCTGTAGGTTAGTTATGTGTCTCTCAAACAGGAGCACTGGAAACAGCCTCGGGTTTGTAAACAGTGATCAGGCCAATGGTCAGGATTACAAAGAGCTCAGAGAAAGCAAAGGACAGCCCGGTATCAGTTAAAGTCTCCATTACATAGCCCCAACACAATAATGGTAGTAAGGAACTAGGCAACAACAGTTCTAGGACAATGTATACTTGCAGCAAAGGGTGTGTCCATTACTCTCCCTTAAGTAGTAATGACACCAATAACAGTAGCAGTACATCTTGCAAGCATGTACCATGAACCAGGCATCACGCCAAGGGCCTCATCTGTTATTAAGTCTTGCAACATTCTGAGGTAGGTACTGTTGTCTCATGGTATAGTAAAAATAAAGGGTGCTTATAGAGATTAAAGACCTTACCAAGAGCTCATCAGCTAGAAATAGAGAGCTGGAATTGAAGCCAAGCTGTGGACTTCAGAGACAGCCCTGAAGTGCCGTCAACAGACACTCATGTAGGTTGCTTACCTAAGGGAGTATCATCATAAGCTTCCAAGTGGTTACAAGGACAGACAGGGATGGCACAAGAGTTGAGCAGCATGCTTCTTCGAGACAGTATGTGGAAGCTACAGTAACTGGAGGAATGCCAGGCAGCACAAGTTCAGGGTCCTCACCTGTGTGCCACTGTCACTGAGACTCAGCTCTCCATCTGCTTTGCCTTCTACCAACCTACTTCCACTCTGTAGCTGGCCCAAGTCACTCACTGGCTAGCCTACAGATGGTCTGTCTTTGAATCAGGTACCAATGGCCCAAGTGACCAAGGCCATGGATAAAAGTCCGGGCCACAAGGCCTACAGAGGGCCCTGACTTCCATAGGAATTGTGGAAGAAACAGGCAACCGCAAAAGGGGCTTGTGATCACAGTGGGTCCATGCTGTTGCTGTGTTACAGAAAGCAGTTCTGCATCCTTATTTTTACCATGCCTCACACTGTTGGCATTTATAGAGATTATTTATACCCAAAAGGGCACACAGGACTATTCCTGAGTACCAACAGCCTATATATAATGACTAGATAGATGAAGTACAAACAAGAAGAACTCAGTTAAGTGCAAACAACAAGTATAAACAAGGACAGAATAGTAGCTTATGAAAGCTTTTCTTCCTCCTCTTCCACTCTGTTTCAAAGTACTATTTATCAGAATTAAGAAGTGCATGGGTCCTGATTCCCACTTACCAGGAGGCTGGTCATTTTTCATCATTACGTGGAGGGGTGGCTCCGAGTTTAGCTCAACCATCTGTCGTCCCTCACAAGACCGAGGGATTCACAGCAGGACCAGGAAAGTTTGCCAAGCCCCTCAAGAAAACTCTGAGGGCACAGTTAACAAGTCACTTCCCAAGACTGGGTGGACCAGACAGGAAGACTAGACCCCCACACAGGACTACAGAGAGCCAGACATGGTCCTAGTAAAACCAGAGTCACCTTCTGGAAAGAAAAAAATCCATCCTGCAACAATGACTATCCAAGCTATGAATGTACACACTGGACACAACTTTCAAATTCCAAATGTCTCTAGGTTGATTTGGAACATGCTGGACATGGCTTCCCAAAATCCTGACCAGTTGCAGGGCTAGGAGAAGGGGATCATGGTGTGATGAGACACTGTTGAAGATGTCTCTCTCTCTCTCTCCCTAATCCACCCCCACTTGAGGGTGCACACATTTGTATTATCATGAACAAAATTAACTTCCTAACAGTGAACATGATCAATTCATTGCTAAGGGCACTGGGCCCAGCCACAGTGGCATAGGCAGCAGGGTCACTGCTATGTAATGGTAGAAGCCATAAAGGTTGGCTCCAGGCTCACATCCTATGTTTACCTGAACACACCCATGATCCTGGCTGGCTGTAGGGCCTAGGTGAGGATCACAGTGCGATGGCCCTGTTGAGGGCACCTGTGTGTGTGTGTCCATCTCTCTCCCATGGAGGAGGTAAATAATAAAACTTTTTTTAAAAAGGCAGGGCATTAGAGTTTACTTTTTCCAGGGCCGATGCGTGGGGTGGTAGTTAAAGGCACTGGATTCCCACATGGCCAACCGCAGTTCGAGTCCTGGACCTAGCAGCTTACTTTCTCACTTTCCCTTTCTCTCTCTCTCTCTCTCGTCAAATTAAAAAACAGTAAAAACAAATGGAATGAAATACTTCTTAAAAATTAACTTTTTCTAAAAACATTAAGTGCAGAAGACATGGGTGTTATCTTTAGATTAGAACCCAACTATTAATACATTTCATCCAGATGACCCTCCTTACCATATAGCTTCCTGCCTGAGTCAGTTTATAAAGGATGAGGGACATGAGAATACTAAAATGTATTTTACCACCTTTTTAATGAAAAGTCATAATTCTGAGATTTTTTGCTTAAACAGCTTCTCAGGGTTTTTTTTTAATACACTTCTAAGACAGCAGGTAGCTTGGTGGTGAAGGCAGGGGACTCCCCCATTGCCAAATGTGGTTCAAGTCCCAGACCTGGTGTCTTGCTTTCTCTCTCTCTCTCTCTTCTCTCTCTCTCTCTCTTTCTCTCTCTCTCGTGCCTGTGCCTTTTAAAAAAATCGGGATCAGCAGATGGCATAATAGCTATGTCACTGGACTCCCACATGGCCTGTGGTTGGAGTCCCAGATCTGGTGGCTTGAAACTCACTCCGGACACGTGTGTGTGTGTGTGCCCAAAACCCTGAGAGGAGAATGGAGGAGACGGGACTATGGCATGGCCATCCCCCTTGGGGGGTGATTTTCACTTTCTGTCTTTTTGACTCTCTCTTTTTTTCTCTCTCGCTGTCTCTCTGGCGAGTGCAAGTGCCCTATGGCAAGAATTTTTCTAAAAATAAATAAATAGTAAAAAATAGATACCCTTCTAACAAACTGGTCAAATGGGCATGAGAAGGTGTTATCAGGCTCAGACTCCACAAGCTCAGTCTGATCCTAGGCTCTGCCATTTACCAGCCTTGTTACATCCAGCAAGTCCTTCAACCTCTCTGTTGAGTTTCAGATTCTTACCTATTCAGCTCACTGTATCTGTAAAGAGTATATTAGCACCTGCCCTCTCTATTTCATAAAATTCTGAGAATCAAATTTAAATACTGATTGAAAACTTTAAAACCCTAAGGTAGGCATTGGGCATCTTCATTTTTAATGGCTACATGGACTCAAATCTCTTTCACTCAGCTTTCAAGGAAACAGGGCATATGTTGAGAACGAGTTCCAGAGTCCATGTTCAAATTCCAAATGTAAATCTCAGCCCCGCAAATAAATCTTGGGAATTTACTGATGACCCCGTTTCTCCAGCGTAGGAGCAGAACAAAGAACTCACTTTGTGGAGCTGAGGTGCCACACATGATGATAGGCTAACAGTGGCTTTTTTCTAATCCCATCGTTCCTTCCAACCAAAACATGAAATGATCTGATGGCTTTGCAGCAAGATCTTACCCTGTGTATATACATCTACCAAGCCATGCTAAAACAAACACAAAACCCAGCTTTTCCGAGGACACAATTTACAGAAAATATCCTTCCAAATGTTTTGACTTTCATACTGTTCAAAATACACACCAGTATAAGTTAAAACAAAAATTGACAAGTAGTAAACTTTTTAAAATTCTGACAACTGACATATAAGAACTTTCTCTCAGGGACCAGCAGTTGGCGTAATGGCTATGTCACTGGACTCCCATGTAGTCAACTGTGGTTCAAGTCCCGGACCCGGTGGCTTAAACTCTCGCGGGGTACATGTATGTGTGTGCCCAGGATCCCAAGAGGAGAATGGAGAAGGGATTGCGGTGGGGGGTGGGGGGGGTTGATTTCTCACTTTCAAGCTGTCTGTTTCTCTGGCGAGGACACGTGCCCTATAGCAAAAATCTCTCCAAAAAACCCCAAACAAACAAACAAACAAAAATCTTTTTTCTTTTTTTTTCCTTGAAAGACAGAAAGAGTAAGAGGGAGAAACAGAGAGACAAGCACTCCCAACAGGGTTTTCATATCATGATTCACTCCTAGACTCAGCTAGCTAGGATGGTGGGCACACATGTGTGTGACTGGTTGAAGACATCAACTCCCGACCTTCCCACGTGGATCCACTTGTTGATACAGAACCACACTATCTGGGCCTTCCATGTAGACTTTCAGATTTTACCTATTAATATTTCAGTGTGAGTTGCTTCAGCCCCTTAGCCTAGTGGTTAAGTCAATCTGACCCCAGATAGCCAGTCACAGTCCCAGCCCTGGTAGCATGAACACTCCAAGCACATGCATGTGAATGCCCTAAGTCCTGACAGCATGCAGAAATGGAGAAGAAAGAACTGCAACACGGCCATGACCCACTGGGGAATGCTTCCCCCCTCTCACTCAGGAGAAACAGAGAAAGCAAGAGAGGGAAAGGGTGAAATCATCTGCCAGGGGTGAGGGCCGTGCTGCAATCCTTTCTCCTCCATTCTCCTCTCAGGATTTTGGGTACACACACGCATGTACCCAGCATGTTTTTCAAGCCACTGGGTCCAGGACTTGAGCTGCACAATTGGTCATGTGGGATCCATTTGCCTTAATCACCATGCTTCTTGGATGGCACTGAATTTTCTTTCTAAATGACCCAGTGCGTGGTATTCTGGTATAGGAACACAAAGTAGACCAAGACAGGA